AGATCCTTCGTCAGACATGCGAGCGAGAGGGGCGCAGCCTCCATGTGATCGCTGACAGAGGTCCGGTTTTAGGATTTACTGTTCAAAACGCTGCCGTAGAGGCTTTGAGGACTTGGATGCACCTGGCCCGAGCCGTGGCCGTTACAATCACCTCACAGGTGTGTGACACTCGGACGATGATCCCTAAGACTGAAGGAGAACTGAAGCATTCCGATGGTGCCGTTGGCGAGAACCACTGCCAGGACGGGGCCTGCCGGAAGAACCATCAGCTCTGTCTTGGGAGAAGTCTGGCCGGAAGGTTCCTTAGAAGCGAGGATGGAGAGATGGCGTCTCGTGTCCTCTGGACGCGATATTCGGAAGAGGCCAGTCCCTAGAAAAGGGCGTGATGCTTGGGACAGAGGAGGGTCAGGGAGAACGCGGAAGACTGTCAAGGGGACGGAGTGACACCGTGGCTGGCACCATGGGCTTCTGCGTGGCAATGGCCGAGAGGACGGCGCTGTGGGTCAGAAGCACCTTGCCAGCACATAGTGGCCCCAAGCGACGTCAGGGGCCTCGGCTGCTTGAATCTGTGCCTCCACACACACCTCGGGTTGCTACAGTTGCCAGGCAGATTTCGAATGCAGTAAAATGTTACCCCGCAAAACGGGCTAAGAAAAAACCCCACAAGGACCAGACAACAATGCTCACGAACTTTCTGACAAGAATACAGGGTTCTGCATTCTCCAGGAGAACCCAGATGATCTAGAACAGCTGTTCTCAACCTGGGGGTCGAACGACCCTTTCACAGGGGTCACCCGATTCATCACAGTAGCAACATGACAGTGATGAAGTAGCAACGAAAATCATTTTATGGTTGGGGGTCACCACCCCATGAGGACCTGTATGAAAGGGTTAAGGCGTGAGGAAGGTGGAGAACCGCTGCTCTAGAACCTTCCGCAAGTGGAGTTCTCACTGCCACCAACTAATACCAACATTGTCCAACTCTTCGTCAGAACAAGTTTTGTTTGTTTTAATGATTTGGGTGTTTTTATGTAGGCTATGTACGTATTAAAATTCAGGTCTGTAAGTGTCTTCCAGAGGGCTTCAAAAAGTTCACAGACAAAAATTCATCATCTTTCCATTTTTTCACACACACTTTTTGAAGCCCCCTTGCATGTAATGTTTCTAATCATCTTCACAGATTTATAGACACGAATAATAAAAGGCAATCATAACTTAAAAAAAAGAGAGAGATTCAATTTACTTAATACTTAAAAACTTAGAACTTACTTAAAACAGCACTGCAGGGACAGAGCCCATTCATTAAGTTGGGGACTCCTGTATACACTTGTTGAGGTATGTAAGGGTGTGTGTGTGTTTCTACAAAGTCTGGATCAGATATTCTCTCTTGCTTGGTACCCTGATACTTCAGCTTAGTGACAGAATGGGCAGCCTCGTGTGTGTGTGTGTGTGTGTGTGTGTGTGTGTGTGTGTGTGTGTAAGTTGGGGACTCCTGTATACACTTGTTGAGGTATGTAAGGGTGTGTGTGTGTGTGTGTGTGTGTTTCTACAAAGTCTGGATCAGATACTCTCTCTTGCTTGGTACCCTGATATTTTAAGCTTAATGACAGAATGGGCAGCCTCCCTCCCCCAGCTGCTCAGTGTTCTCTAGAAATGCGTGTGGGCAACCGCTTCCAGGATGCTGGCACAGGGCTGGGTGGAAACATCCCTGCCAGATCGTTCAAGAGAGCGTTTCTTTCCAGGCAAATGGAATCCGGGACCTCGGTTCCCCAACCACTGACCCTCTTCTGGCCTCAGCCCAGCACAGCCGGAAACGGGCGTTGTTAGCGTGAGGTTGTCAATTCCAACTCGTAGCCACCTACTGTGTACGACCGCACACGTCGCCGCCTGGCCCGGTGCTGTCCCACCCTTGTGGCTGCGTGGGCGTCGTGAGGCACTGAGTCAGTGCTCACCCACAGGGTCCCTCTGCCCA